TTCTTTCTTTCTTTCTTTCTTTCTTTCTTTCTTTCTTTCTTTCTTTCTTTCTTTCTTTCTTTCTTGTCACGGGGCCTGAACTCTTCAGTTCAAGGCTAGTGTTTTACCACACAAACCATAGCGCCACTTCTGGTTTTTTCTGCTTATGTGGTGCTGAAGAATCAAATCCAGGGCCTCATGCATGCAAGCCATTGCTTTTAAAATTACTAGATTTCTGATATTTTACAATCCAAAGACAGCAATGACATTTTTTTTTTTTTTTGTAGTAATGGGGCTTGAACTCAGGCCTTGTGCTTGCCTGGCTTGCTTGCTAGTGACTGGTACCCTACTGTCTGAGCTATGCTACCAGCTCAGCTTTTTTCTGGTTATTTTGGAGATGGAGTCTCAAGGACTTTTCTGCCCAGGTTGGCTTTGAACTGAATTTCTCCAGATATTAGACTTCTGAGTTGCTAGGATTATATGTGTGATCTGGTTCTTGGTCCTGTGTTTCGTTTTGGTAGATTTTTAGACATTTTTACTAGGAAGAAAAATTATTCCTGCCTGATGAAAGAATAAACAGAATAGTTGTTTCAGAGGATGATCTGTTCTTTGGATTTAAAATAGAGCTTTAAAAGATATGAGATGGGGCTGGGAAGGTGGCTCAGTGGTAGAGTGCTTGCCTTGCATGCATGAGGCCCCTGAGTTCGATTCCTTAGCACCACATAAACGGAAAAGCTGGAAATGGCACTGTGGCTCAAGTGGTAGAGTGCTCGCCTTGAGCTGAAGAGCGGAGGGAAAGCATCCAGGCCCAGAGTTCAGGCCCCACAACCTACCCTCCCCCCAAAAAAACAAAAGTTATGAGAAGATGAAATATTTTTGTGAGAAAAATTCTGGGGGAAAAGACTTTTTAGAGAGGCTGTCATTTAATAGGAAAAGAATAGTTTGCCCTTTGAGCTAGAATTGCCTTGAAACATCTCAGGATACAAAATAGGCTTCTTTGACATTATTCTCAATTCTTTAGATTTCCATGAAGAAAACTCACAAGGACCTGAATGGCCTCATTTTAGTTGCTTCAGTGTGTGGAGCTATTACTTGCTCCTTCATTTTTTTTTGCCTGGTGTGACCGACCGTGGCTACTGAACACCATGAAGGTTGTGCCAGAGAAGAATGCTGTGCGGATACTCTGGGGCCGGGAACGGGGCACCCGGGCCATGGGAGCTCAGCGGCTTCTGCAGGAGCTGGTGGAGGATAAAACCCGCTGGATGAAATGGGAAGGCAAGGTAAGAAAATGGATGGGTTTTTTTTGGTGGGGTGTGTCGGGGGAAGGTGTTGGTCGTGGGACTTAAACTCTGGGCCTGGGCACTGTACCTCAACTCTTCAGCTCAAGGTGAGCGCTCTACCACTTGAGCCACAGTGCCACTTCCTTCCGGTGGTTTATTGGATTTTTTTTTTTGGGTCCGGTCATGGGGCCTGAACTGTGGGCCTGGGCGCTGTCCCTCAGCTCTTTAGCTCAAGGCTAGCGCTCTACCACTTGAGTCACAGCGCCGCTTCCGGGTTTTTTCTTTTTTGCTCATGTGGTACTGAGGAATCGAACCCAGGGCCTCAGGCATGCAAGGCATGCGCTCTACCACTGAGCCAACTTCCCAGCCCAGGTGGTTTATTGGAGTCTCAGGGATTTTCCTGTCCAGGCTGACTTTGAACTGTGATCCTCAGATCTCAGCCTCCTGAGTAGCTAGAATTACAGGCTTGAGCCACAGGAGCCCTGCAAAGATGGGTGCTTTTTGACATAGATTTTTGGGAATGACAGTAGAATGGGATTTTAGGATGGGTTACTGGCAGAGTTGGGATGTAATTTATCTTTATCTTTAAGAGGTTTGATATCTCTAAGAGAATTGATATGCCAGTGTGGGGAGTTGGTTTACATATTTAAAAATTAGGGCCAAAAATATCTTTTACCTCAGGGTAATTTGGATTTATCTTTCTCAGTTTGTAATTCAATCATTGCCTCTAGTAAAATCTTAAGACTGTGAATAATAATCTAGAATGGTTCATGTGCTTATGATATAAAGTCAAAGTTCATGAATAATATATTTTGTCTTTTTGTTTTGTTTTGTCTGCCAGAGAGTAGAACTGCCTGATAGTCCACGCTCTACCTTTTTACTGGCCTTCAGTCCAGACAGGTACCTAGTACTCATCTGTAACTTAACCTTTAAGATATGTGATAATATTGCTTTCTGAGTGTTTTGTTTAGTTTGAGCTTCCCAGTTAATCCCTAGAGGTTTTCTGAAGCATTGTATAAACAAAGCTTTTCAGCATATCAGAAAAGGAAAGAAAGTTGATAAACAGTGTCAACCAGAAAAATAGTGGGAATAGTAAAAGAAACTATGAATAGCAAGGATTATGACTTGGAAAGCTTCTCAGTGATGATTGTCACTTTCTTAACTGAGTGGTATAGGTCATTAATATACAATATATATAATATAGGTCATTAATGGTATGATTGCTTTCCCACCCCAAAAAAAATATTCTCTGAAGGCAGTATGTGTCATTTGGGAACAACATGGCAAAATACTTATTTAACTTACTTATTTTGGTGCTGGGACTGAATTCAAGGCCTTATATAAATGCTCTTTCATTGAGCTAAATCCTCAGCCTCCAAACTGGAAGCTTTTAAAGATAAGAATATTCTTGTGTGTTATTTGCTGCCTGAGTCTCAATTTCTTTCATGTTGAGTTGAGGAATAGTATCCAGAGTTGATGAAGTTTGTTACTCTCTACATGCTTCTTAATTTGCTTCTGCTCTTTTTGATTCTGTAGGACTCTTTTGGCTTCCACCCATGTGAACCATAATATCTATATTACGGAGGTGAAGACTGGCAAGTGTGTTCATTCTCTAATTGGGCACCGCCGTACTCCATGGTGTGTTACTTTTCATCCCACCATCTCAGGCCTTATTGCTTCTGGCTGCCTAGATGGGGAGGTTAGGATTTGGGATTTACATGTAAGTATTTTCTTAAGCTGCTCTTTTCTTTGGTATTTTAAATACAGTGGTTTATTTACCATTGGGTTCTTAATTTTAGAAGAGAAACTAGGTGGGTTCATAGGACTCATCTGCGTAAGTGGTAGTTATCACCCACTTAATTGATTGGACATCTAATTCATAGTCCTCCATTCTAAAATGAATGCCCAATTTAATTTTCCTTTTACCTACTTATTGTGACATATACAGGAGGCTCTAAGATGTGTTCAGAGGAAAGTTTATGCTGGTCATTGAAGATGAACCTGTCCTGTTAACTGGCTAGGGGGTTATTCTGCACCATGTTGTACACTAAGCTGGAGGGTTTTTGTTGTTGTTGGTTGGGTGGCTTGAAGTCTGGGCATGGGTGCTGTCCCTGAGCATTTTTGCTCAAGGCTAGCTCTCTGAGCCATAGCTCTACTACTGGTTTTTGAATGGTTAATTGGAAATAAGAGTCTCACGGGGACTTTTCTGCCTGGGCTGGCTTCAAATAATGATCCTCAGATCTCAGCCTTTTGAATAGCTAGGATTATAGGCATGATCCACCAGCACCTGTCTAAGCTGGACTTTTTTCAGACTTCTGAAATAGGAACTGGCAACGACTTGTTGCTTGTAGATTGTTTGTGACTTGAAGAACTAAGCTGACAGTTGAAGAACTGAGTGACAGTTGATAGTAATATTTATAAAGTAGTGATAAATCAGATAAAACAGTGGCACTGACCAATCACTAATCTTGTGCATTTTATTTTAAATGGAATGCTCTTGAAGATGACTTTCCAGTCTACTAGTAATTTATAACCTGAGAATATTTAGAATTGGTTTATTTGCAGGGTGGCAGTGAAAGCTGGTTCACAGATAGCAACAATGCCATTGCCTCTCTGGCTTTCCACCCTACCGCTCAACTTCTGCTCATTGCCACTGCAAATGAGATCCACTTCTGGGATTGGAGTCGTCGAGAGCCCTTTGCTGTGGTGAAGACAGCTAGTGAAATGGAAAGGGTTCGGTGAGTGCTCTACTTCACTGGCAAGGTCTGGGAACAGACTTTGCTAATGAGAGAAAACATTTGCATTTATTTCACCTCAGTTTGTTACCTCTGCTTTGGCCATTGTCATTCATGCTTTGGGCATGTTGTTATCACTACAGCTGATTAGCCAAGAAATAGTTCATTGTGTTCATTTCACCCATTGTTTATTGCATACCAAGATCACTAGGTGGAATCTTTTTAGGTCCTGAAGTGTTTGGGTTTAGGGTTATCCTTCTTTAAGAAAACAAGAAAGGGGGCTGGGAAGGTGGCTCAGTGGTTGAGCGCTTGCCTTGCATGCATGAGGCCCTGGGTTTGATTCCTCAGCACCACATAAGCAAAAAGAAAAAAGCCGGAAGTGGCTCTGTGGCTCAAGTGGTAGAGCGCTAGCTTTGAGCTGAAGAGTTGAGAGACAGCGCCCAGGCCCAGAGTTCAGGCCCCACGACTGGACTCCCCCCCCCAAAAAAAAAAAAAAAAAAAAAAAAAAGAAAACATGAAAGAAGTTTGGGTGGGATTTTCATGGTTGTTGGTCAACGGGGCTGTTGGTCAAACTAGAAGATAAAAGTTTAAACGTATCAGATCTGCATTTTGATTTCTTTTTTCTTTTTGGCTATCTATGGTAGGGCTTGAACTCAGGGCCTGGACACTGTCCCTGAGCTCTTTTTGCTCAAGGCTAGTGTTTTACCACTTTGCGCCACAAGGCCACTTCAGGTTTTTTTTTGAGTGGTTAATTGGAGATAAGAACCTCATGGGTACTTTTCTCCCAGGGCTGGCTTCAAACCATGATCCTTAGATCTCAGCCTCCTGAGTAGCTAGGACTACAGGTGTGAACCACCGCCACTCGACTTGCTTTTGGGTATTTATTTCCCCTTCAAGATCGTAACACACATGATGGCTGCTGGCTGTGGTGACTCATATCTAAGCCATTCACTCTTGTGGATAAGACAGAAGAATCATGAATTTTGTGGCCTGGGACATATAGCAAACTCAAAGCTAGCCTGGAATAGGTAGTAGGTCCCTGTCTCAGAAATAAAACGTATGGTAGGATGGGGGGTATAGCTCAGTGGTAGAGTTTTTGAGTAGTATACATGTAACCTTAAGTTTGATCACCAGCCATAAAAAACAAAAAGAAAAAGTTAATATTGCTTGTAATAAAGTTGATTTGTTATCTTCTTTGACCTTTTTGGTATTGTAGTTGGATACAGGCTATTTTTTTTTTTTTTTTTTTAGTCATTTGTGGGGCTTGAACTCTGGTCCTGGGAGCTGTCCCTCAGCTCTACAGCTCAAGGCTAGTGCTCTAGCACTTGAGCCACAGCGCCACTTCTGGTTTTCTGGGTGGTTTATTGGAGATAAAAGTCTCACAGCCTCTCCTGCCCAGGCTGGCTTTGAACGGTGATCCTCAGATCTCAGCCTCCTGAGTAGCTAGAATTACAGGCATAAGCAACCATGCCCGGCTATGAATATTCTTTTATTCCCACAAGAAGTAATGTGCATTGTTATTATAGTTGTTGTTTTAAGACAGGGTTTTGTACTATAACCTGGGTCATCCTCAAACATGCTGTGTTGCCCAGAATGGTCTTGAACTCAGTCCTCCTACTTCTGCTTCTGGAGTGCTAGAATTACAGGTATGCACTGTGATGCCTAGTTTAAACCTTATTAATTTCTTCAACAGTTTTGAAAGGCTAGGAGTAATAGCATATATCTGTGATTCTAGCACTGGGATGTTGAGGTAGGATTTGGAGTTCCATACCAGATTCAGCTACATAACAAGAACTTGCTGTGAAGTATATATGCAGATAATCCCATAATTTTCATTCAACAATTTTTGTGAACTATAATTTTTCTCTTCTCAGTTAACCTAATTTCTCTGTGTGTCTATCTCTTCTGGATTTCAGTCTGGTGAGGTTTGATCCACTTGGACACTACTTACTCACAGCAATTGTTAACCCTTCTAATCAGCAGGTAAGAATCCAGCAGTTCCAACTCCATGTGAACTGTGAGTTGTTTCCTAAACTAGAAGTCTTAATTCTGATTATAATGGATACTAATTCTTTTTTTTTTTTTTTTTGGGTTCAGTCGTGGGGCCTGAACTCTGGGCCTGGGCGATGTCCCTCAGCTCTTCAGCTCAAGGCTAGTGCTCTACCACTTGAGCCATAGCGCCACTTCCGGCTTTTTTCTTTTTTGCTTATGTGGTGCTGAGGAATCGAACCCAGGGCCGCAGAGGCATGCAAGGCAAGGGCTCTGCCACTGAGCCATCTTCCCAGCCCCATGGATACTAATTCTTAATAGCCAAGTCTTCCTTTCCACTCAAGATTCAAATTAGCTTCAGATTGTATAGCCAAAGTTACATCCATAATCTTTTTTTTTTTTTGGTCGGTTGTGGGGCTTGGGGCTTGAACTCTGGGCCTGGGCTCTGTCCCTGAGCTCTTCAGCTCAAGGCTCTATCATTGAGCCACAGTGCCACTTCTGGTTTTCTGAGTGATTTATTGGAGATAAGAGTTTCACTGACTTTACCGGGCTGGCTTTGAACTGTGATCCTTAGATCTCAGCCTCCTGAGTGGCTAGGATTACAGGCATGAGCCACCAGCAACCCGCTATAGCCATAATCTTGAAAGTCAAATCTAAAACACTTTAGTGATCATCTCACTGGAAGTAAACCTTGTCATTACCAGATAATGTTGGATAGCTTGTCATTCCTATTCCTATATATGGTTAACATTTTCTTTTCCCCTTACTACTTCTATGTCATGGAGATGCCTTTTATAAGACATTGGTTTGCCAGCTGTACTCATGTATTGCTAATTGGAAGTGAATAATTAATACAATTTGATATTTCTGAATTTGGAGCCTGTCTATAAAGGTGGTGGTTCTTGGATGATTGACAGGTGTTAGTTTTTCTGTATTTACTTGCATGTTCTACCTAATTGCTCTACCTGCTGCCTCATGCTGCCACATTGCAGGGTGATGATGAGCCAGAAATTCCCATAGATGGAACAGAATTATCCCACTACCGCCAGCGTGCCCTCCTGCAATCACAGCCAGTTCGCCGGACACCTCTCCTCCACAATTTCCTGCACATGCTGTCCTCCCGCTCTTCTGGCATCCAGGTGGGAGAGCAAAGCACAGTGCAAGATTCTGCTACCCCCTCACCCCCACCGCCTCCCCCTCAGCCCTCCATGGAGCGCCCCAGGACTTCCGCTTACATCAGGCTCCGACAGCGGGTCAGTTACCCTACCACAGCTGAGTGCTGCCAACACCCTGGGATCCTGTGCCTTTGCAGCCGCTGCGCTGGCACTCGAGTTCCTTCCCTCTTGCCACACCAGGACAGTGTTCCCCCTGCTTCTGCCAGAGCTACTACCCCTTCCTTTTCTTTTGTACAGACCGAGCCCTTCCACCCCCTGGAGCAGGCCTCATCAGCGCAGCAGGACCAGGGCCTCCTGAACCGGCCGTCTGCCTTCAGTACGGTCCAGAGCAGCACTGCTGGCAACACGCTCCGCAACCTCAGTCTGGGTCCCACCCGACGCTCTTTGGGAGGCTCTTTGTCTAGCCACCCTTCTAGGTATCACCGAGAACTAGCTCCTGGACTGACAGGATCTGAGTGGACCCGGACAGTACTTAGTCTGCACTCACGCTCTGAGGCAGAATCTATGCCCCCACCTAGGACCAGTGCTTCTTCAGTAAGTTTGCTGTCTGTATTGAGACAACAGGAAGGTGGCTCTCAGGCATCGGTGTACACTTCAGCTACAGAAGGGCGGGGTTTTCCAGCATCAGGTTTGGCACCTGAGTCAGATGGAGGGAACAGTTCCAGCCAGACCAACTCTGGCAGCATTCGCCATGAGCTTCAGTGTGACCTGAGACGTTTCTTTTTGGAGTATGACCGGCTGCAGGAGCTGGACCAGAGCCTGAATGGGGAAACTCCTCAGACTCAGCAGGCCCAGGAAATGCTCAACAATAACATCGAATCTGAGAGGCCAGGCCCTTCCCACCAGCCCACCCCTCACAGTAGTGAGAACAATTCCAACCTGTCCCGGGGCCACCTCAATCGTTGCCGTGCTTGCCACAATCTCCTGACTTTCAACAATGATACTTTGCGTTGGGAAAGAACCACACCTAACTACTCATCTGGTGAGGCTAGCTCCTCCTGGCAGGTCCCAAGCACCTTTGAGGGCATGCCATCAAGTGGCAACCAGTTACCACCTCTTGAGCGAACTGAGGGCCAAACACCTAGCTCCAGCAGGCTGGAGTTGAGCAGCTCTGCTAGTCCACAGGAGGAAAGGACTGTGGGGGTGGCCTTTAACCAGGAGACAGGCCACTGGGAAAGAATTTACACCCAGTCCAGCAGATCTGGAACTGTATCACAGGAGGCCTTACATCAGGATATGCCTGAGGAAAGTGCTGAGGAAGATTCACTTAGGAGGTAAGTGGTTGCTTTCCTGTCATCTTCTGTAATCCTGCCTCTTTTCTTTGTATCTCTTCTTTCAGTCCTATAGATTTGTGGCTCTCTCTGAAATATCTAGGGCCCACACATCTGGTTCTGATCATTCCCCCTTGGAAAATGTTGTTTTGGTGGCAGAGAAAGGATTGAGCTTAGTGGTGTGAATCAATTGCTGTGCTAGCTGTATTTTTGGCTAAGCCCAGGGCTCTAACTTTAGCCTTGAAAGCAAAGTATAGATTGTGTTAAAGAGGCATAAGGAGATAGAATCACTGGCTTTCTCTGTCCTGCTTTTTGACCTTCTTGAAAGATTGTCTATGTAGGAAATGTCCTACTAGAGTACCGGAAAAAAGGAGTGAGCATCCATTTTGATTCAGATTAGTATATCATACTGGCTCTTCAATTGTGTTGCTTTGAATAGCTGTGTTCATTTCCTAATTCTTACCTTTTCAGACACTGCAACATGACAAAGGACAAAGAATTACATATATACATGTACATCAGTGAAAATTCAAAAGAAGTTTATTTACAGATAGGTTTTTGTATAGGATCTTAGTTGCTCAGTTAAAATTCTTTGTTGTGGGCTTTTGTACGTGTGAAACATACTACCACTGTAGTACATTTCTAGCCCCAAGGTTCTTTGAATGGATCTTCCAAATGGTTATTCACTTCAAGGTGGAAGAAAAGAATTCATCGAAGGAAAGCCTTTTAATGAGTTGATATCATAGCCAACTTTTTGAAAGAGATGGAAGGGGATTAGTTGTGGTCCACTGTATGATTCTTATACGGCTATGTGTACATTTATCTGGATTTACTAGGGACTTCTTTCTGAGATCTAGAAAGGTCAACTCTAGTATAATCATCAATTCCCAGAATATGCCTGATGTGTCTAAACAGTAAAATGCTCTGATTATCTCTATTCAAGCAAGTGAAATTTTTCTGACATAAGCTAAAATAGGTCGGAGTATGGATTAGCACCTACTGTTCTTGTCATTTTGGGAGGATGTATTAAACATCACTCAGTAAACATTAGTTGAATGGTTACAGTTTTTCAACTGCTCGGTAGGCATTGTGCCTACTGGAATATGTAGTGTTGTTGTGGAGGCAAGACAAATTTACATGACATTTATCAAAGGTGTAGGTGATCAAATGCTTCCTTGTACAGCACTGATAATAAATGTAGTCTAAACAAAAACCAAACACCATAATTTTAAAAAGTCTTAACTTCAGAGAAAGGGAAGTATTATCAAACAATGGTTTGTAAGATCCGGTATTGAATACTGGATAAGATTTGGAACAGGAAAGGCCTTTCTATTTTAGTAGAACAACACATATTAAATGGGAAAGTACATGATATATGCATAGTAGTTGGCAAGTAGTGAGGTGCAGAGGGAGGCTTGGTTGGGTGTAACAGGTAGATGAAGTAGTGACAGTGTTACTATGTTGGCATGAGTAAGATCAGTCCCTGATGAACAGTCCTCAGTGCCTGCTTTTAGAATATTTTCTTTTTCTGAATAGTCTGCCTCAGAGGTCTGAAACTGTTCTCTTCCTTATCAAGATAGATGAGAAGGCCGCTAGCAGTGCCTCACATATAGTAAGCACTCACTTTATTAAGATAGGGGTCTATCTTAAATCACTGCCCTTGAAATCTAGCATTTCTCACCTGTGGGTTTCTAGTCAGATTCTGTCCATCCTACTGTAATAGTACCTCTTCATGTGGTACTCTTGTAAGCAGTCACCAAGTGCCAGCAGTGGGGAACATCCCCACAGCATCACTTGGTATGTGATGGGACAGACAGTGCTTCTTGCCTGTATTGATAAATTTGTATAGCCTGTAATGATATTATAAATATCCAAATGGCCCTTGGCAGAAAATGTGTCCCCTACTCCTGCTTTACAGTGTGATGATAGAGATGCCAGTTACTGATACCTGTGTATTAGATATCATGGGGTTTATTTTTTATTGTTTTATTTATTTGTGTGTGTGAGTGAGTACTAGGGCATGAACGTGGGGCCTTGCATTCTTGCTTTAGCTTTTTCATCCAAGGCTGGTGCTCTCTCACTTTAGCCACACATCCACTAGCAAAAAGTCTTTAGTAGCAAATGCCACTCTAGAGGCATAGCTCAAGTGTAGAAAGCCAGCTGTGAGCTAAAAGCGAAGGGAGAACTCAGGGCCCAGAGTTTAGGCCCCAGTATCTGCACAAAAAAGGAAGAAGGAAAAAAGAGAGTAGAACAATGAAACTTGTTGACATTATTTAAAGACATGGAAATGGAATGGGGGAAAGGTTGATCTCAATGCATTATTTACTTGGGTGGAAATGCCACAATGAACCCCCTCCCCCCATAAGCTATTGTATACTAATAAAAAATAAATGAACTTCTGTAAACCTATCACCTGACTTTCATTCATCAAGGCTTGATCAGCCTTCTTTCATCTATATTACTTACCAACTGCTCTAACCAGGCGTCATATAATTTTGTCTGTACATACTTCACAGTGTTTCTCTAGAGCAAGGCTGTCCAGTAGAACTTTGTAGATAATGAACATATTCAGTATCTGTGCTGTCCAATATAGTAACCACTAGTCACATGTGACTATTGAGTAATTGAAATATTAGGATTGAAAAGTTAGGATCTAAGGAGCTAAACTTAATTTAAAAAAAAAAAAACCAAAAAAATTTAGCCAGGAACCAGTAGTACACACCTGTAATCTTTGCTACTTAGGAAGCTGAGATCTGAGGATCACAGTGTGAAAACCAGCCTGGACAGGAAAATCCATGAGACTCCTATCTTCAATTAACTACTAAAAAAGCCAGAAGTGGAGCTGTGGCTCAAATGGTAGAGTGCTAACCTTTTTTTTTTTTTTTGCTAGTCATAGGGCTTGAACTCTGGGCCTCCGTGCTGTCCCTCAGTTCTTCAGCCCAAGGCTAGCACTCTACCACTTAAGTCACAGCACCACTTCCGTCATTTTCTGCTTATGTGGTGCCAAGGAATTCAACCCAGGGCCTCATGCATGCAAGGCAAACACTCTACCACTGAGCCACCTTCCCAGCCCTAGAGTGCTAACCTTGAGCAATAAAGCCAAAAACAGTGTCCAGGCCCTGAGTTCAAGTTCCAGGACTGGAACACAAAAATTACACATAAAATATTAGTCATAATTTCTCTATGGAGACATTCAAGATTTAAAAACTAGTAAGATTGCACCAAAAACATTTACTTTTTTTTTTCTCTTCTATTAGTGCAAAGTAGTTTGTGTTGTGGTTTAAACAAAGTTTAAGTATTTGGGAATTTGATGAGGATACATTGTGTGGAAAAGTCACAGTAAAACCCCTCTTTTACAACTAAATGTATGCTAGTAGAAAAAAATTTAAGCATTTGAAAATGGATGTTGTAGAGCTAATAGTGATAGAGTGCTTGCCTAGAATGCTGCATCTCCTGCATTGAAAAAACAAATTGTATAGTAGAAAATGTAGTTTCTTGTTAACAATTTTGTTTTTCTTTTAAAAAATATAGCAATAACACATAGTTCTCAACAGTATCAATATAGTAGTTATTTATGGAGTTATTTTTTTATGAGCTAGGATATGGTATATCATGAAGATTGACAGTTAATTAAAAAAATGAAGAATAGGGCTGGGAAGGTGGCTCAGTGGTAGAGCGCTTGCCTTGCATGCCTGAGGCCCTGGGTTCGATTCTTCAGCACCACATAAGAAAAAAGAAAAAAACCAGAAGTGGCGCTGTGGCTCAAGTGGTAGAGCCCTAGCCTTGAGCTGAAGAGCTGAGGGACAGGGCCCAGGCCCAGAGTTCAGGCCCCACGACCGGACCTCCCCCCCCCAAAAAAAAAGATAAAAAAATGAAGTATATCTATATATGTGGCTCATACCTAAAATCCTAGCTACTAAGGCTGAGATCTGGAAGATTGTGGGTTGAAGCCAGCCCAGGTAGAAAAATAACGGAGACTCCAGAAATAATAATAACGAGCAGAGCTGATGGTTTGATTCAAGTAGCAGATATCGAAGACTCCAGAAATAATAATAACGAGCAGAGCTGATGGTTTGATTCAAGTAGCAGATTGGAACTGAGCAGTCAAGCCCAGTAAGTAAGGAGGCTTAGAGTTCAAACTCCAGTACCCCCTATGAAGTATATTGTAAAATCTACTTCTAAGTGCTTAGGTGTTGGAGAAGGACTACCACTTGAATGGTTGCATTTAGGTGTATATATAAACGAGTGCTGATATACCTTCTGAGATCTCAGTAGGAGGGGGTAACACTATTCAAAAGAAATGTACTCTTTACCTGACTTATATAACTGTAACCCCTCTGTACATCACCTTTACAATAAAACTTAAATTAAAAAAAAATAATTAGCTGGGCGCTGGTGGCTCACGCCTGTAATCCTAGCTACTCAGGAGGCTGAGATCTGAGGATCCAGGTTCAAAGCCAGCCTGGGCAGGAAATACCGTGAGACTCCTATCTCCAATAAACCACCAGAAAACCGGAAGTGGCGCTGTAGCTCAAGTGGTAGAGCGCTCGCCTTGAGCTGAAGACCTGAGGGACAGCGCCCAGGCCCAGAGTTCAAGCCCCATGACCGACAAAAAAATAATAATAATAATTAGGAAAAAAGAAAAGAAAGATGTCAGAAGTTTCTAGCTGATAGACCAGCCCTTGCTTTTATTTCTCCAGCAGGTGTCGCTGTTGGGCTGCTCCCGCCGCCAGGATAAATGGCAAGGAAGGAAAGGTGTTCTTACTGTTTGTGTAGGCAGCTAAATCTTATAACAAAGCCTGTTTTTTTTTTTTTTTGTAGGTAACTATTGTTGCTAAATGAATGGAGTTCACAGAAGGTGATTGTGCTTGAAGGGAGTGGGTTTAGTGCTTTGGATTTGTAATGGGAGATAGGTTATGAGGTATATTTTGATCCTTTGATGCTGCAGAAATAATAAAGAGGGCACCCTTTCTTCTACATTATTTGAAATTTCTGCTTTGATA